CCATAGGGTTCCCTTTTCCTCAGTGAGGCGAGCAGGAGCTTCCAGGTCCTATCCTGTATCCAGAGTTTGGGGACCAGTAGTACAGATCCAGTCTACAGATTAATCCTATGGGATTGATCCTCCAAGCACCTGTACTCTGAAAGAAACTCTTTATCTCTACTTCTTGCAGTTATTAACCCCGGGTATACCTTTTTCATTTTTTTCTTAGCCCTTCCACACCCATATAAGCAATTCCTCACATTCAGTGCTCTGCTTGAAATACCCACCGTGACTCCTGCGTCCCTGGCTGAAATCTGACTGATGCTCTGTTCCCAGTGCTCCTTCTCACTAGATTTGGTGACAGCAGTGATGCCGTGTATCTTGCTAAATATTTTAACCTCTTGGCCTGACACACAGTGGGCCTCTATAAATATTTTTCACTCCATCTCTACAACCACCATGGTTTTTGGAGATTAGCAGAAAGTGTGGGTTTAAATCTGAGACCTGCCATTCACCAGTTGGGTGATTTCAGCATATTTCTTTGAAATGAAGCAAATATTTTGTGGACACTTTCTGCAGCAGGTGCTTCAAAATATACCATATGTAACCCTCCCAGCACGCCTCAGACGAAGGCACCATGCTCACACTTAAGGAAACAGAGGCTCCGGGAGATGAGGTGGCTGACCCAGGCCACACAGCCCATACACAGTGCATTGAGATGTGGGACAGCCTGACCCAGAAACCACACTCTGAGCATCGCGTGCAGCTCCTCACCAGCTTCTGTCTGCTCACCCACAGAATAATGAGAACGGTCCATCCTTGGGGTGAAAGTATAAGAAATTTCAGGGACAAAATTATATAAGTAATTCTGAATGCATTCATTGTGAAAATAAATGACCTGCGGTTTCAGTACCTTAACCTGAGTGGCAAATTTCAAGTGACTTCCACTCGTGGGCCTGGCTTTTCTGTGTCTTTCCTTGCTGGCCACCTGCATAACTTCTGCTAAGCTCTCCTGCTTGCCCGGCCATCTCACTTCCTGTCTTCTGCGCCCTGACTGACCCCAGTGAGGCTGCCTTTAAAAGGCCACAAAGTCAGATCCTTCTGCTGTTCCAAGGGTGAGTCCTCCAGGCCCAGGCTAAGGCCTGTGTTCTTGCGTGCATAGGACACAAAGCCCCACCGGTGTCTGGGCCTTTTTGTGATACTGGCGATATGCAGGAGGAGCAGTGAGCTCAGACTTCCAAGATCCAGTTCATGGTCTAGGACTCCACTGTGGGTGCTGCAAAGTCCTTCTTTTCCTCCTGCCTCACAGGCAGCATTTAAAAGCCTGGGATGGGGACAAACTCGCCAGCTGGGGTGGTGACACGTCCATTCCACATGGGTTCCTTGTCTGTTCCAACCGAATTGTGCTAGCTCAGAAGCAGCGTACCCAGGATGCGGCCCGGGGTGCCGCTCTGTCTATCACAGCTTCCCGGACCAATGTCCTGTTTCAAAGAGAATCGGTCTACGTGAAAGACGGACCACAGGAAATAGGGACCTGCAAAGGAAACCCAGGGGATAAGTAGTGACCTTGAAGAAGCCCTTCTGCCATTCCTTGGGGAAATATGCCCAGCCTGACATAATGTCTGGTCAGGGATCTGGAGCCCTTTGTTCTGTGTCCTGGGCTAACTGCCTGGCACCCACAGCAGCTGCCAAGGCCCACGTGTCTTCCCAGAGCAGCTCTGGTTGAGGCTCTCAACTACTTCTCTCCCTTTTAAAAATCCATTGATTTTGACTTTTCTCTCTCTCCCTCTCTCTCCTCCTTAACAGGAACTGAGCGCTGCTGGTAGAAGGTTTTATTAGCAGGAAGGGAGAGCTTGGCAACTTGGCAGAGAATCTACTGAGAGCACCAGATTGAAGCAGCAAGACAGCAGCCCCGGTTGCTGCTTGCCTAGGACTCAGGACAGATTTATGCATCAGTTTCTCAATAGTTTCTGGACCAGAAGCCATCGCTCACCACAAGAGAGACAGGCTGGACATTCACTCACTCACAGGTTTGGGGGCTCAGCAGCGGCTGCACACAAGGAACCAGCGAGGCCAGTTGGTGAGGCTGTGACAGTCACTATGGGCACAATGAACCAAGAAAGCTGTCAAAGTACGCAGCCTGACCTGTGGTGAGGGGTTCTGAACAACCTCGAGGGGCAGGTGTGGGAGCTCCTGTTCAAATTCCACAGGAAGGATCGAACTTTAGCCCTTTTGCATAGATTCTACCAATGCTATGTTCTGGCGGGCCCAGGCTATGACAGCAAGAGGCAGGGACCTCTGCCATGGGACCATGCGTGGCCAACCAATACCAACACCTCGGTAGCACCAAGTTCCTAGCTGGGCTTAGGAACGCTCATTTAAAAATCAACCTCTCCACTGATCCCCAGTGGTTGCCTGTTGTTTTCCTAATACCAGGCACAGGAAGTGAAGCTCAACAAAATCATCTTGTCAGAGGGGATAGTGTTGAAAGTTATATAAGTATCCCGCACCCACGTCTTTTGTCAAATATGTGTGCATGCCAATATTTCCCTTAGTTTGTCTAAGGAAAGAAGTTTGTCTTTCATCTGCTGAAGGCGGTCCTTCACAGAGCCAAGTTTGCAATTTTGATAATGTCCAATTAATCAATTTTCCTTTTATAGGTTATGCTTTTAATATCAGTGTAAGACTTTTTATCTAGATCAAGAACATGACACTTTTCTGTCACTTTGTCTAAAAGTTTACAGTTTCATATTTTAAATATAAAAGTACATAGTGCATTCTGAATGGATTTTTGTATGGTTGTGATGTTCTGATTGGGATTCATGTCTACGTCCAGACACTCCAGCATTACTCATTGAAAAGGCTCTCCTTTCCCCCACTGAATTGCTTTTGCAGCTTTGTCACAAATCGATTGGTCATGTTCATGTGGATGAGCTTCTGATCCCCCGCCCCACTCCAATGCTGAGGATGAAACCCAGGGCTAGGTGAGCACTCTGCCTCTGTACCCGCTGCCAAGAGTGCTCTATTCCACAGACCTGTGCCTCTCTGCCAATACAGCATGGTCTCTGCAGCTACACACTAAGCCTTCACACTGAGTGAAGCAATTCCTTGCTCTTCAGTTTTCCTCAAGATTATTTTAGGTACTCCAGGGCCATGCTTTTCCAAGTAAATTTTAGAACAAGCTTTTGATTTTGCTCTACATGTCCCTTACAAGTGTATTGCTTCATTTAAGTATACAATATGTGGGGCTGGGGATTTAGCTCAGCGGCAAAGCGCCTGCCTGGTAAGCACAAGGTCGTGAGTTCGGTTCCTGGTACCGGAGAAAAACCAAAAAAAAAAAAAAAAAAAAAAACAATATGTGGCAACTTTTCCACATATAGATTTCCAGTTTAATCTCATGGTGATCAGTGACCATATTCTATATGATCTTAAACTTTTGAAATGTTTTGGGATTTGCTTTATGGTCTATTTTAGCAAATGTTAATGTGTACTTGAAAGAATGTATATTCTGCAGTTATTAGGTACAGTATTCCGTATATGTCAATTAGGTCAATTTTATTAAGTTCACTGTGAAAATCTTCTCTACTCTTTCTGACATTGTCTTCTTGTTCTATCAGATATTCAGAGATGTGTTAAAACCACCCAGCATGATTATGAATTTGTTACTCCTCTGAATTCTGTGAAATTTTTATTAACATATTTTGGAGTTATTTATCAGGCGAATTTTCCATGTTTTCCTGGCAGAGTTATCCCCCTCATTACTATTAAACATTCCTTTTGCTGTCCACTAGTTTTCCCTGCCTTTGTCTGGTATTGGACCTTTGGGTGGTCAGTACAGTTTACATGGCATATTTTTCTCTATCCTTCAACTTTGCTCATTGCCAAACTGCTCAAAACGAAAGAACAACTGGGATGGGGGAAAAGAGAAAAAAAGGAAGGAAAAAAAAATATATATATATATACAAGATAGCTAAGATAATTGTACTGCTAATTTCTATTAGTTCATTGAAATGAACAGCTAGTGTTTATATTGTTCAATCACCTTACATGCCTATATCTTATAATCTGAGCAACTACTTTGAAGATAACAATATGCAATAACCATTACTAATTTCCTACTATCTTGTTTTGAAATTCTGTATCATTTTATTTTTTATTATCTTTAAAATTAAAAAATAAAAATTCCCCTTCAGTGTGTGAGATACCTCAACCTCTGAGCTCTGGGATGCCACCCACCCCACCGTGTTTGATGTTCTGAGCTACAAGGTCAAGAGCCTGTTCACACCTGGCTCCCTCCTCTGCTGTTTCCTCCCAGGGCCTATTGGGGCCTTTCTGGAGGCAAATCTCTGTCTCCACTACACAGGGAGCTCATGTATGCCTAAAAAACCAAGCATGTGTGTTCTGTGTCTACTCAATCACCATGTGCGCTGGATTTTAACTTTATTTTAAGTCACAACCATTACAACAATATTGATGGCACTGTGGATGCCAGTTTAATAAAGTCGTCTCGCATAGTCCTGTGCCCTTATTTCCTGTAGAAAGGAGGCTACCTTTAAACTTAACCACAAAAGACCTGAAGGATGTTACAAAAATGTGTATCTACCACTTATGAAGTTAGTTTAGTGCTTCTAGCTGCCTTAGAGATCTTTGGAATTGGTATATTAATTTTACTTTCAATAATTATATGAGGGGAGAAATTGGAAGGTAGAGCAGTAAATAAATAATTTTTACCTTAAACAAGAAGAGATCTGGTACTAAGACAAGACCAAAACAAATGAAGAAAAAATACTCTCTTAAGTGGAAAATACTGTTAGGTGGCAAAATACTCTGTTAAGTGGAAACAAAAAAATAACACTTTAGTGTGAACTTCTTCTGCCACAAGAGCAACAATTAAAATAACAATCTCATAATAATAAATGAAGAGTTATGCCCGCGAGTGGAGTCATTGTACACATGCAATATCACACGATACATCAGTGCGTGTTATTGTACTTACAGAAGCAAATATTATGCAGAGAAAATTGGAGACTTGTTTTTATTTTCCTTCTGTGATTCCTCAACAAGAAATTTTGTTGGGGAAAAAATTCTGAAGGGTTTTGTCTTCTTGCGTTTGTTTGGCTGGCAGGTTTTACAAGCCTCTTTTTATTAAAAACCCCAAATCGCAGTGTGCACAGTGTCCTTCCTGCTAAAGACGCCTGGCAGCCTGCAGCGGTGGGGCCTCACCTTCCAGTCCCCACCGCCCCGTTTTTCATGTGGCTTTACAGCAAGAACCCCGAGCAAAACAGGATGAAGATACAAAACTGAACCCCAACTGTGACAGGCAGGGTGGGGAGTGGGGGAGCAGGTGCACCTTGCACAAGCTCCTTCTCAGGAAGGCCCGGCCTCTACTCAGTAGGACCCCAGAAGGCCCTGAGGTCAGCACTGCCCACCGTGCTCAGGACATGTGTCCCCTGCAGTGACAGCCACGAAAGGGACAGGATGTGTTCAAGTGCTCCCTTTCCCCATCCTGGAGGGTGAGGCAGAGCCAGCCCCGGCCCACCAGCCCCCAGCCCCCTCCTAGAGGGCTGGCGGTGGCTCAGTGCCCTTGCTTAGACATTGCTCGGGGTCTCTGTGGCCTTCTGTGTTGAGGTTTCATGTCCTTGTGCAGTCGGGTTGGATGGGTGATGGAGATGAAATTGTGTGGCTTCCTCTTTCCATCTCTAAGACTTCCTCAGGTCTCGTAGCTCCCATGAATGCCATCCAGAGGCTCAGGCTTCCCAGGGAACATGGCTCAGCATGCCACCCGGCCTGCACCCTCCTCCCTGGGAGGCCCCCAGGGGGACACCCGCAGTCCACGGGGAGCTCAGCTGGCCCGAAGAAGGGGCTCAGGGCAGCACAGGGCAGCTGCCCTCTTAGAGAGGACAAAAGTGAAAACCAGCAAAAGATAAACAGCAGATGTGCCCGAACTCCCTCCCCTTGGCCACAGGACCTAAGGGAGGAGATTTCCAGGGGGAACCTGAGAGCTCTCCTGGGGGGCAGATAATACACAGTTAGCGAATCAAGTGGAAAGAGCCTTCTGGGTATTTGCATTTCCAGGCACCTCAGACACATCTGGGAGGAATTTTTTAAGATTGTACCTTTCATTAATGCTCAATCGCCCCAAGCTTAGCCGGGCTTCTGTCCTCCAAAGAGCTGGAATCACAGCATGGAGAAGGTCAGCTAACAACCCCGCAGGGCACAATGTGCGCGGCAGTTCTCTTTTCTCACTGGACCCTCACCCAACCCTAAGGGGCTGCAGAGCAAGCACCACCACTGCGCTGTGCAGACCAGCGCCTGAGCCACCTTGGCAGGAAGTGGCCATGCGCCCTGGAACCTGCCTCCTTGTCTGGCCCTTCTGCAATGCCCCACCACCACCCCTCCACGGCTTTGGGACATGAGCTGCCCTCTGTGACTGAACACGCCTGGGAAGAGGCGGGTTTCCTTAGCATTGGTCAAACCAGCCCGAGGACAGGCCAGGTGAACAGGAGAAAGGGCTAAAGCAAAGCAAGCCCTGAAAAAGTCAAACGGCTCTCAAGCACACGCCTGAATGCGTGTAGACCTGAACCTGCTCTAGAGAGATCTTTGAAATCTCTGACCAGCCTGTGTCCTAGCTACAGTAAAATTCATAGGCATGCATATATTTAATATCTTAACACAAATTAACAACATTTTGTTAAACACATCTTAAGAGGGAGGAAAAACGAGAAAGAGGAAAGGGCAGAATCTGGGGTCTCTGTGGTTCCCTTGGCCACAGCAGTATGAGTGGGGAGCGTCGCCGGCTCCCAGCAGTCCTTGCAGCACACTGTGCATGCGGTCACGTGGGCTTCCAGCTAATGGCCATGCTGACCATTGGGGATGAGGTGCTTGTTGGTCCCAAGGCCATTCTTCAAACAGTCTCTGTCTTTGCCTTTGGTAGTTTCCTCCTCCTCCTCCTCCTCCTCCTCCTCTTCTTCCTCTTCCTCTTCATTATCACTCCTCACATCTTTAATGTTCTAGACAAAGGAAAGAATTAGCTGTGACAACTTCCATGATGCTTTAAGTGCCTATGCAAACTAATAGGTCCATCTTGCAGGTTTGGTTTCCTAAAGAAAACCCAAGATCCACAGAACACATTCAGCAAGATAAACCACACTCTGGGTCATAAAACAAACCTTAACTCCACAAACTACAATTATACAACGTGTATTTAAGACAGGAGAGAAGGTGCAATACTGCCCAAGAGGTACTTTACATAGGATTTTTGTTCTGTGGTTGTGTCAGGCGCCCCATGCTCTGGGTGGCAATTGCTTTGGCTGCCGCAGACGGGTCCCAGGTGACTCTGCAAACTCTGGATGACTCTGTCCCCCACATCTCTCCTCAATTAGGTCCGCAAGTGCCCTATCACCGAAGAGAAAGTCTGGCACTGTACATTCTCGAGCTCGCCCTTTTCCCTATGTAAGCAAGCTCCTCATGCCCTTAGCAGGCTCGGTCCATGTGCTGTTTCTTATGTCTCAGCCTAAATCCTAAGAAAGCTTCAGGCTGGCTTTTTTTTTTTTTTTTTTTGGCCTATTTGCGGTTTCTATTTCAAGTGGTGACAAAAGCTGCCAGCAGCCAGGACTGGTAACACAAAAGGCAGCGAGCAGCAGAGAACAGCACAGAA